CAAAGCAAGGCAAGCCAGTTAAGTATATTAATATTATATTTGGAGGGGAACAAGCAATATGAAAACAGAGCAAACTCATTTTAAATATAAATTAAAGCAAGTATTATAACAGAATTTTTAAAATCTTCAAGACTTTATTTCGAAAAAATAATTAAATCCGATACGAGATGTAGGTGAGCATACATCAGGTGTAAACATTTATTTACTCATTTATATATAAAGAGAAGCTTGGTTTCGAAGAATTATTAAAGCGATCGATACCGGCCTATCTGCCATTTCGTTTGAAAAGATGAGTAAAAGGAATTCTTAAATTGGCCTCAGAAGATACCGAAGGAGGATTGCCTTGGATTTATAAGTGGGATTTTGCTAAAAGGCCCTCGAATCATCGTCCTATCACTGATCAATCGGTGCTAAGCTTTCATCCGCCATGTGGCTGATATCGTCAGACTCAGAAACCGTCATTTTCTAATAAATACCAAAAAACATTAAACCAAGAGAAAAGGTGACCAACTGAAATCCTTCTTACTTTACGATCTCAATGATGCATTCCATGACTTGGTTGGCTAATTCATACCTGCCCTACGGGCACGAGTGAAGTTATGTATAGAAACTTGGTTTTGAGGAGAGTTGATGCATCGACATCGAGTGTGTGGTCACAGTTTTTCCTTATGTAAATAAACTATGTAAAGCGTCGTGATAAGGAATTAAGAAAGAATCTTAGTTCAGAAAATTTTTTACAATTTGATTAATTGTCAATAATTTCGCAATACTAAGAAATAGGATGAGGAAAAGCCTCCTGGATGTTGCCAGCTTCCGAAAAAGATATGCGAATTACTGAGGAAATGGAACACGTTGCTAGGAGTTCCGCATGAGAAGGACCACGCTCAGCCAAGGTCTAGGTCCCAGACAAAGTCTTCCAATTATAGTAGAGCATGGCCTCCTGCTGACAGTGTGCCACGATGAAAAGAGTGTAAGCTCAGCGCGGATTGATCATGGTCGTGGGACGGTGCGACAAGGGCTTGTCTGCAAAAATCTAGTCACAGCTCCAAGCTAACCCTCGTTCAGAATATGATAAAACCAATTTATGAATCCCTTTCACCCGCCCTTACAAACGAAATTACAAGTAGGCCCGCCTCAATCTGTATACATTATCGCGAGGGCCCTTAGCGTAGTGGTAATGTCAAGGCAATACACTGCACTGCATGAATTCAAATACAACTAAATATCGAAATTGTAGTCCATTCCTGTCTAAATTAGAATAATTTTGGGGGAAAAGTGAGGCCTATTCATGGTAGTGTAAACAAATTCGGCTGAGTCCTACATCCGACCTAGGGTGAGTAGTTTTTAGTAAAGATCCATTGGAAGTTTCGAAACTTACTTAGTAGGCATATATATAAGAATACTTAACAAGAAGAAATAAGAGTAAAGAAATAAGCCTAAAAATGGAGATTTGATGATAACGGCTAATAGGTTATTTGTTAAAAAGAGGAATATTTGATTTAGACTCAGTTCCTAAGGGAAATTAGTCTTGTCCACAGAGAAAGGGTGATAAAAAAAGGCAGTTTACTGAAACTTTTGATACTGGTCTTACAAGTAGGATATGCGAAGTAGATTCGGAAGGGTCAAGAAATTCGAGTATAGAAACTAATCAGTACCATGGATTGGCTCAGGCTAAATCATTTAAATAAAAGGTTTTAAAAGATATGGCCAAACCTGCTCGGTTAGGGCATGATAGTCCCGAAAATTTACCGAGACGGAAAAGAGTAACTATAATCTAATGACGTCAAAACCGTAAATAAGAAGCCCACTGGGCAAAATAGGAAATCCTTACTTATGAAATTACTGCGTCAGAACAGTAATTTAAAAGCAAAATCAACAATAAATTCTTGTGGCATGATGCAATGTTGGAACCCCGACTGAAACCGGGACATTGGAAGCTCCACTAAATGGGCAAGTCACAAATGTAATGGTATCACAAACTAAACAAGTCTTAATTACCGAACAAAGTATGATATTAAATATCCTTACATGATTTGAACCCGGGTTTGTGCCCGAGCTTGGCCCATCCAGATAGCCGTTTTCCACCCAGCCTGGCTGTTATATTATTGGAAGATGCGGTCGTATGTCTGTCAAGAGCTGAGGGCTTTATGCCAGCTGATGTAGTCCTCTGGCTGCAAAAATCCGAGTAAAGTCCGTCAGCTTCATCATAAACGACGAGCTGGCGCTGACTTAACTCCTCGGTCTCGGCGCCTGTTCGCTCTCCGTCCTTAGATATGTGAAGAGAGCATTGACCCGAAGTAAAATCTTCACCGCTACCTGATCGAGGTTTGCGTTGCCAAGTGCGCTGACTGGAAACTAGGTGTATTCGAATAAAATAGAGAGCGATGGGTTAAGTCATCTGGAGAACTCAGTCTTGTTGAAATTAATATCTCAAAATGGCAAAATTTGACTTTCTTGCTAGTTCCCACTAGCTTAATTCATAAGTATATGATACAAATTAAATAACAAAGTGGCAGATGCCAGGTTAGTACGAAGCAGTGGAAAGGAGTGTTAAATCAATATCAGTGGTGAGTAAATATACTATTCAGAGGTCTATGAACTGAAAACATAGTAAAGTGAATAACGGCGGATGAAAAAGTTGACCCAAGTCCGAAGAAGAAATTATAGATAACTTTTTGCATGATTTGGATGTTAAAGCGCCAAAAATCTGAGGTAAATAATATTATGAAGGATACATCTAAATCTTCTTGAAACACTTTTGCCAGAATTGCCTAGGTTATGCTACAG